GCTCCCAGTGCTTCCCCATTGATAATGATATTTGCTGTGGGCTTTTCGTAGATGGCTTTTAAGATATCGAGGAAAGTTCCCTCTATCCCTACACTCTGAAGAGTTTTGATCAGGAATGGATGCTGTATTTTGTCAAATGCTTTCTCTGCATCTAATGAGAGGATCATATGGTTCTTGGTTTTTCTCTTGCTGATATGATGAATCACATTGATTGTTTTACGAGTGTTGAACCAGCCTTGCATCCCGGGGATAAATCCTACTTGGTCATGGTGAATAATTTTCTTAATGTGTTGTTGGATCCTATTGGCTAGTATCTTGTTGAGAATTTTTGCATCCATGTTCATCAGGGATATTGGTCTGTAATTCTCCTTTTTGGTGGGGTCTTTGTCTGGTTTTGGAATTAAGGTGATGCTGGCCTCATAGAATGAGTTTGGAAGTACTCCATCTCTTTCTATCTTTCCAAACAGCTTTAGTAGAATAGGTATGATTTCTTCTTTAAACGTTTGATAGAATTCCCCTGGGAAGCCATCTGGCCCTGGACTCTTGTGTCTTGGGAGGTTTTTGATGACTGCTTCAATTTCCTCCCTGGTTATTGGCCTGTTCAGGTTTTCTATTTCTTCCTGCTCCAGTTTTGGTAGTTTGTGGCTTTCCAGGAATGCGTCCATTTCTTCTAGATTGCCTAATTTATTGGCGTAGAGCTGTTCATAATATGTTTTTAAAATCGTTTGTATTTCCTTGGTGTTGGTAGTGATCTCTCCTTTCTCATTCATGATTTTATTAATTTGAGTCTTCTCTCTCTTCTTTTTAATAAGGCTGGCTAAGGGTGTATCTATCTTATTAATTCTTTCAAAGAACCAACTCCTGGTTCTGTTGATCTGTTCCATAGTTCTTCTGGTCTCAATTTTGTTGAGTTCTGCTCGAATTTTAATTAACTCTCTTCTTCTGCTGGGTGTAGGATCTATTTGCTGTTTTTTTTCTAGCTCCTTTATGTGTAAGGTTAGCTTTTGTATTTGAGTTCTTTCCAGTTTTTGATTGGATGCTTGTATTGTGATGTACTTCCCCCTCAGGACTGTTTTTGCTGCATCCCAAAGATTTTGAACGGTTGTATCTTCATTCTCATTAGTTTCTTTTTTTAAATTTATTTTATGATAGTCAGAGAGAGAGAGAGAGAGAGAGAGAGAGAGAGAGAGAGAGGCAGAGACACAGGCAGAGGGAGAAGCAGGCTCCATGCACCGGGAGCCCGACTTGGGACTCGATCCGGGGTCTCCAGAATCGCGCCCTGGGCCAAAGGCAGGCGCCAAACCACTGCGCCACCCAGGGATCCCCATTCTCATTAGTTTCGATGAATTTTTTTAATTCGTCCTTAATTTCCTGGTTGACCCTTTCATCATTTAGCAGGATGGTCCTTAACCTCCACGTGTTTGAGGTCCTTCCAAACTTCTTCTTGTGATTTAGTTCTAATTTCAAGGCATAATGATCTGAGAATATGCAGGGGACGGTCCCAATCTTTCGGTATCGGTTCAGACCCAATTTGTGACCCAGTATGTGGTCTATTCTGGAGAAAGTTCCATGTGCACTTGAGAAGAATGTGTATTCAGTTGAGTTTGGATGTAAAGTTCTGTAGATATCTGTGAAATCCATCTGGTCCAGTGTATCATTTACAGCTCTCGTTTCTTTGGAGATGTTGTGCTTAGGAGACCTATTGAGGGTAGAAAGAGCTAGATTGAAGTCACCAAGTATAAGTGTATTATTATCTAAGTATGTCTTCACTTTCGTTATTAATTGGTTTAAATATTTGGCAGCTCCCACATTCGGGGCATTATATTGAGGATTGTTAAGTCCTCTTGTTGGATAGATCCTTTAAGTATGAGATAGTGTCCCTCTTCATCTCTCACTACAGTCTTCGGGGTAAATTTTAGTTTATCTGATATAAGGATGGCTACCCCTGCTTTCTATTGAGGACCATTTGAATGGTACATGGTTCTCCAACCTTTTATTTTCAGGTTGTAGGTGTCCTTCTGTCTAAAATGAGTCTCTTGTGGACAGCAAATAGATGGGTCCTGCTTTTTTATCCAGTCTGAAACCCTGTGCCTTTTGATGGGGTCATTAATCAGTTCACGTTCAGAGTTACTATTGACAGATAGTTTAGTGTCATCATGATATCTATTCAGTCCTTGTTTTTGTGGATTGCTCCACTGGACTTCTTCTTAAAGGGGAATTTTAAGAGTCCCCCTTAAAATTTCTTGCAGAGCTGGTTTGGAGGTCATATATTCTTTCAGTTCCTGCCTGTCTTGGAAGCTCTTTATCCCTCCTTCCATTCTGAATGAGAGCCTTGCTGGATAAAGTATTCTTGGTTGCATGTTCTTCTCATTTAGCACCCTGAATGGCCTGCCAGGTCTCTGTGGAGAGGTCTGCTGTTATCCTAATGCTTCTCCCCATAAATTTAGAGATTTCTTGTCTCTTGCTGCTTTAAGGATCTTCTCTTTATGTTTGTAATTTGCAAGTTTCAGTATTAAATGTTGAGGTGTTGAGTGGTTTTTATTGATTTTAGGGGGGATCTCTCTATCTCCTGGATCTGAATACCTGTTTCCCTTCTCAAGTTAGGGACATTCTCAGCTATGATTTTTTCAAATACAGTTTCTGGACCTCTGTCCCTTTCGGCACCCTCGGGAACCCAAATTAAAGGTAGATCTTTCCTTCTGAGGCTGTTATTTATTTTCCTTAGCCTATCCTCATTATCTTTTGTTTTTATTCTTTTTCCTCAGTTTACCTCCTTGCCATCAACTTGTCTTCTATGTCACTCACTCGTCCTTATACCTCGTTAACCCTCATTCTTAGGACCTCCAGTTTGGATTGCATCTTATTTGATATTTAATTTCAGCCTGATTAGATATAAATTCTGCAGTCATGAAGTCTCTTGAATACTTTATGCTTTTTTTCTAGAGCCACCAGTAGCTTTTTAATTGTGCTTCTGAATTGGCTTTCTGACATGAATTGTAATCCAGATTTTGTAACTCTGTGGGAAAGACGACTGTTTCTGATTCTTTTGTGGTGACTTTTTCCTTCTAGTCATTTTGCTCAGTGCTGAGTGGCCAAAAACAAGTTGTACTGGAAAAAGGAGAAAAAGAGAGAGGAAAAAAAAGTAATAAAGGAATAAAAGAAGGGGGGAACAAACAGAAAACAAAAAACAAGGGGGAGTATCCTCTGATTCTATATACTGTAAATCCCTCAACTTCCCTGGAACTTTCCAGTGCCGCTGGGTCAATAACTGGCCTTTCCCCTGTCCTTCTAGCTGGTCTTCTGGGGGAGGGGCCTGCTTTGCTGATCCTCAGGTGTATGCCCCTGGGGGAGCTGCCCAGCCCCCTGCAGGTGCACGTCTCAGTGGGTGCTGTTTATCCTGTGAGGCCCCTGCTAACTCCCAGGTACAAGGTGACACCAGGAGGAACAAAAACAGTGGCGGTGGCCAACTCTCCAGCCCTGGAGTCAGCTGCAGCAGTAACTACCACAGCTCCCAGTCCGAAGCGGCCTGGGTGCTCTGGGGGCGAGGGTCGCCGATCTGCATAGCTCTGGGGCAGCCGGAGGCAGGAGCACCCGCGGTGTCCTGAGCCCTCCCGGCCTCTGCCTGTCCCGGGTGGAGTGTTGGATCTTGGGTTGTGTCCCCCAGTGCCCTGGTCTTCAGGGCCTGCAGCACTGTAATTCCGCTCCCGGGGCTGCGCAGCCCCCTCCGTTTGGAGCCGCCCCCCCCCCCCCGCCCAGCCTCCACTTGAGCTCCTCCCGAGGCCCTGCCAAGTGCCGGCTGCAGCCCTTTAGGGAGCTCGGCCTGTGGTGTGTGGCGCTCTCCCCTGGGTGCAGTTCTTCCGTTAGTGCCCCTGGGAGCCTGAGGGCATCCTTTTCTCTCCTGGGATCCTGTCTGAGCTCCCCGCAAACGCCTTTTCATCCGGGAAGATTGGTGAAGCTCCTGCTTCTCTGGGCCTGGGCCTTCCTGTCTTGGGCGCACTGCCACGTGGCCTTAGCGCGGCTCCTCTGGGGGCCCCTCCCCCTTGGATGCCTTTTTATTTCTTTATTATTATTTTTTTCCGTCTACCTACCTTGATAGAAGCGCAAACTCTTCTCACTGTAGCATTCCAGCTGTTCTCTGTTTAAATCTCAGGCCGAATTCATATGTTTTCAGGATGATTTGAAAGTTATTTAGTTAGGTATGTTGGTGGGGACAGGTGACTTGGGGACCCTAGTCTTCTGCCATCTTGCCCCATCCCCGGTAAAAGTCAATATCTTATAATGGTTTAGATCATGTGTTCTGCAGTTGTCCTTCTGTAGGTAAAATTTTGGTTCTGTCACTTAGTAGCTCTGTAACTCAGAGAACAATTTAACTTTTTGTGTTTAGCTTTCTCAACTGTGAAATGTTGGTAATTATTAGAATTATTGTTGATTTCTTATTTTCTTCTGGGCAGGCCAAACTCTTTGGAATAATGAAAAGAATAAGAAATTAATCTAAGCCAAAGAATATCTAAATAATCCATTACCATGGTATGAGGAGAGTATCTTCCATTTCTTAGTTCTTAGTTTCTTTCTTGCAGCTGCATTGGTGTGGAAATGGGAATATATAACTCCCAGACTTTATTTATATTATTTATTATTATTTATTTATTTATTTATTTATGTAGACTCCATGCCCAGCATGGAGCCTGAAGTGGGGCTTGAACTCAGGGAACTTGAGATCAAGACCTGAGCTGAGATAAAGAGTCAGATGTTGGGACACCTGGGTGGCTCAGCAGTTTGCCTCCTGCCTTGGGCCCAAGGCATGATCGTGGAGTGCCAGGATCGAGTCCCATGTCAGGCTCCCTTAGGTGAGCCTGCTTCTCCTCTGCTAATGTCTCTGCCTCTCTCTCTCTGTGTCTCTCATGAATAAATAAATAAAATCTTAAGAAAAAAGAGTCAGATGCTTTACTGACTGAGCTCCCACGTGTCCCAACCATCAGACTTTAAACATACACTAGTTTGTGCTCACTTTGGTAGCACATATACTAAAATTGGAATGACAAAGTTTGTCATGGCTCCTGTGCAAGAATACCAAACATATTCATGAAGCATTCCATATTTTTGGAACTAAAGGGTATAATGCTAAGTGAATAAGTCAGTCAAAGATAAATACCATATGAGTTCACTAATATGTGGAATTTAAGAAAGCTGACAAATAAGCAGAAAAAATGAGAGAGAGAGAGAGAGAGAGAGAGAGAGAGAGGGAAATCAAGAAACAGACTCAACTACAGAGGACAAACTGATGGTTACCAGAGAGGAGGTGGGTGGAAGGATGGGTGAAATAGATGATGGGGATTAAGGAGTGCACTTGTGATGAGCACTGGCTGTTGAATGAAACTAATATAACATTGTGTATTAACTAACTGGAATTATAATTGAAACTTAAAAACATATATTGGTTTGACCAGAATTGTGATCGGGAGGAGTAACAAGTCTGCAGTTTTCTAGAGTGTGATATGGGAAAAACAATGAGTCAGGAAATAATTCCTAGGTTTTGAGAAAAGTTTTAAATAAAAGGTAGCTTTGACCTAGACAAAGAAAGAAAACACATTTTAAGTAAGAGGAAAATAATATATAAAAATCTGAAGAAATAAACCACCATAATATAACTTTTGAAGAAATACAATTAATATGTGTGGATGGTGCACAAATTATATGTGGCAGGACATGAGAGTAGAGGGGTAGGTGGGGATTGAATCATTAAGGGTATTGGGGTCAAACTAAAAACATTCCTTATATTTAAAGTGTTGGGAGCAGAACCAGATTAGAGGCAATAAGACCATTTAAGAGACAATGATAGGAATCTGGGCAAAAGACAACAGGGATATCAGAAATATTCCTTTAATTGTGTTTGTATGTTTGAATGTATCTCATAAAAACAGAGGAAAGAAGGAATGGAAGAAGAAATCAGACTGCCATTTTACTACCAAGGGAATGAGGTTGGTGGAGAGGAAAATACTATTTATGTTATTTGATTTGATATAATAGGTATGTTTTATTTTTCTAAAAGAAGTGTATAAAAAGTCAATAAATTAGACATCCAATTATTAATTTTTTCTGCTTGAAGTATATGTACATCATCTTACTCTAAATTTGCAGTTACTTTCTATTGCTCACATATACAAGACAAAGAATGACATCCCATATTTTAGCTATTATTATCTGTGCTTTTGTTGTTGTATCCAAAAAAATTGTTGTCAAGACCAATGTCAAGGGGCTTTTTGTCTGTTTTCTTCTAGGAGTTTTATAGTTCAGTTCTTATGTTTACATCTTTAATACATTGTGAGTTAATTTTCATGGATGGTGTAAGATAGGGGCCCAATTTAATTTTTCTGCATGTAATTATCCACTTTCTCTAACATTATTTATTAAAAAGACTATCTTTTCTCCACTGAAACAAATATTTACTCCCTTGTTAATTATTAGTTGGCTCCCTTGTCAAGTATTAGTTGAATTTTAGCATGTGAGGGTTTATTTGGAGGCTCTGCATTCTGTTCTTTTGGTTTATGTGTCTGTTTTTAATGCCAATGTCATACTGTTTTGATTACTATAACTTTATAATGTAGTTTGAAATCAAGAAATGTGATGCTTTTAAATTTGTTCTCCTTTCTTAGGATTGTTTTGGCTATTCAGTGCCACTTGTGGTTCCATACAAATTTTAGAATTATTTTTTTCTTTTTCTGTGAAAATGTCATTTGAATTTTGATAGGATTACACTAAATCTATAGATGGCTTTGGGTAGTATGGTTATTTGTGAGAGACAAAGAGAGAGAGGCAGAGACATAGGTAAAGGGAGAAGCAGGTTCCCTGTGGGGAGACCAGTGTGGGACTTGATCCCAGGACCTGAGATCATGACCTGAGCCAAAGGCAGATGCTCAACTGCTGAGCCACCCAGGCATCCCTATTTTTATTTTTTTAAAGATTTATTGTATTTATTTGAGAGGGAGAGAGAAAGAGAGCAGAGGGAGGGGCAGAGGGAAAAGGAGAGAGAGAATCTTAAGCAGGCTTTATACCCAGTGCAGAGTCTGACACAGGGCTCAATTTCATCATCCTTAGATCATGACCTGAGCGGAAATTAAGAGTTGGGTGCTTAACTGGCTGAACCACTCAGGGTGTCCATGGACACTTTAACAATATTAATTTTCCTGGGGATCCTGCCTGGCTTATTCAGTAGAGCATGTGACTTTTGGTCTCCAGGTCATGAGTTCAAGGACCAAATTGGGAATAGAGCTTACAATAAAAAAAAAATGTTAATTTTCCTAATACATGAACCTGGAACATTTTTCTATTTTTTTGTGTCTTTTTCATTTTCATTTATGAATCTTGTAGTTTTCAGTGTACAGATATTTACCTCTTTGTTTGAATTTATTCTTAAGTATTTTATTGTTTTTAATGCTATTGTGGATGGAATTGTTTTCTTTATTTTTTTCAGATATTTTATTGTCAGTGTATAGAAACACAAATGACTTTGTATGTTAATTTTATATTCTACAAACTTACTGAAACTGTTGATTAATTCTTACAGTTCTTTGGTGGAGTCTTTTGCGTTTTCTATGTATAATGTCATGCCACCTGCAAACAAAGACAAATTTACTTCTATTTTCTGATTTACATTCATTTTGTTTATTTTTCTTTTTTTTTATTTTTTTTATAAATTAATTTTTATTGGTGTTCAATTTACCAACATACAGAATAACACCCAGTGCTCATCCCGTCAAGTGTCCCCCTCCGTGCTTTGTTTATTTTTCTTGCTTAATTTCTTTGGCTAGGACTTCCAGTACTATATTTAATAGGAGTAGTGATAGTGGGCATGCTATTCTTATTCATGATCTTAGAAGAAAATGTTCCAAACTATCACTATTGAATATATTAGCTGTGGGTTTGTCATACATGGTCTTTATTATGCTGAGGTATGTGCATTCAATACCAAATTTGTTGGGTGTTTTATTTATTTTTTTTCATGAAAGGATGTTGTATTTTGTCAAATGTTTTTTTCTGCATTTATTGAGATGATCATGTGATTTTTGTCTTTATTAATGTGGTGTATTACATTTATTGATTTGTGTATGTTGAGCTATCCCAGGGTTATATCCTGCTTGATCATGGTGTATAATCCTCTTAATATGCTGTTGAATTTGGTATGCTTATATTTTGCTGAGGATTTTTACATCTCTGTTCATCAGGGATATTGGTCTGTTTTGTTTTCTTAGCGTGTCTTTTTCTGGCTTTAGTATCAGGACAATGTTGGCCTTGTAAAATGATTTTGAGACTGTTTCCTCCCTTCAATTTATGGAATAGTTTAATATGGATTGACATTAATTCTCCTTTAAATGCTTGTTAAAATTCGTAAGTGAAACTATTTGGTCCTGAACATTTGCTTGTTGGAAGGTTTTTAATTACTGTTTAATCTCAAAGATTTCACTGTAAATTTATAGATAAGTTATTAAAATTTATATTAGAAATAAATGATATCAAAGGTGATTTTTAAATCCCATCTATTTGGTTTCAGGTTGTTACAGAGCATCATTTTGCATCTTTCCACTTCTTCCTCCATTCTAGTCCAAAACTGCTCAATAGAAATAATATCAACAGAAACAAAGTAACTCTGAGATTTCAAAATGGACCAAATTGTAAATAGATTATCATTCCAGTCAGAACCCAGATGTCTTAAAACAAACAATGGATGACCATTGGATAAACATGATACATTTAACAAATCCATAAAAATAAAAAAATAAAAATTTATAAAAGGGATCCCTGGGTGGCGCAGCGGTTTGGCGCCTGCCTTTGGCCCAGGACGCAATCTTGGAGACCCTGGATCGAATCCCACATCAGGCTCCCGGTGCATGGGGCCTGCTTCTCCCTCTGCTGTGTCTCTGCCTCTCTCTCTCTCTCTGTGACTATCATAAAAAAAAATTAAAAAAAAACAAATCCATAAAATACTGTCTGTTTTTTACATGCATGAAATTAATAGGATTCTTATTTCAATGCAGTTCCCAAAATGCTACAATCAGATAAGATATACTTAAATCCATGTGCTTCAACATCGCCTTTTTAAATGAATTACATTAATCATCTAAAACAAAATTAATCATTAAAACAAAGGGGCCCAATCTTCTACAGAGGCTACTATTGAAAATGAATTCTTCTATCTAACTTATAAAGAATATTTGCTTCTATTATTAAGGATTATAAAATAACCAGTATGGAAGAATTAAAAATAACTTAATAATATATCATATTCATCATTTTACCCATACTTCTATCAGTAATATCCCTTCCCTGTTTTAAATATGAATGAAATTTGCATAGTTAAATCTTAAAGTCATAAAGTGGTAAAAACAATATTTTTATATTGTTAAGAACAGAAGCACCAATTTGTTGTATTTTTTCTTATTTTTTTTAAACATAAAGCTTAGTGAAACTATGTCTCTATAAACAATTAGTTCAATAATTTTGACCTAACCAGTGGGCCAAGCACCATTTTTCAACTCAATATAACTGCCAGTAAAATTAATTTACCAAATTTTCTATTTTTTTCTGAACTGATCTTTTCATAACTGAATATGCAATTAAATTCATAAAAAAATATTTGTCCATGTCATTTGTAGAATAAAATCCCATGCATACAGACTCTCAAGTGAATGGTGTGTGTTGGGGTGTGTGTGTGTTTTCAAGGATAAAAGCTAGAAAAGAGAACAAAAATCAGGTAGAAGATACCATGACCTTACAATTTGAATGAACCTCAAATTTTAACATGGTATGCAAAAATCAGAAGATAAAAGTTCCAGTACATAATATAATATAAATTTTCATTTGTGTCATGATCCACATATTGTGTGAATAGTCAAAAACTGGGCATTTAGTATTGGGACATTTTTTCCAAAGGTAATCCCCCAGTAAAGCTAGATATTGGATTGAGAGTTGTAATATAATTATTTGAGTTTACTTGAGAAGTTCAGTGATCATTTGTTATTTTTGTTTTTGTCCATTACTCACCCACTTACCATCTTAAGTGCCTAATGACCTTTCTTGATTTATAAACATGCAACAGAAGACAAAT